CCCAAGAAGGGCGAAACCGGTCGTGGGCGGTCGTAGAGTTTTCAGCAACCTTGTGAGTAGTTTCCTTTATGAAAATACTTGAAGATCTTTCACCCATCACACTCAGGTACGTTGAATCGTGTCCTGAAGTGGCCTCTGATCAAAATTTGGGAGCCTTATACGCAGTGAGTAGTTTCCTTTATGAAAATACTTGAAGATCTTTCACCCATCACACTCAGGTACGTTGAATCGTGTCCTGAAGTGGCCTCTGATCAAAATTTGGGAGCACTTATACGCAAGAACATCTGTAAATGAAAGATCTGTGGACTCGCTTGCTAGCCTCAGTCATCTCCCAGAACCGAACTTGTAGAATGTACATGACTAGAACGTACATGACCTGTTCTCCATCGTGAAGCATCGCTGTCCCTTCAATTCACTACTGTTTTGTCATGTTTTCTTTATGTTTTCAGTCTTCGGATACATATCGTTTACACGTATGTACGACTCTGTATCCTGATAGCACGGTCTTTTCTGATGACTCATCAGGAGTACATTTTTTTCCTTGTCTACAAAGGTTTAGGGTGGAAAGCACGGCCCTGATATATGGCTAATAACCGCAGATATATTTTGAGATTTTGCGGTAACTGACACTCTCCCTGCTGGCACAGGATCGGCGTCAGAAATGAGGTCGAAAAGCGGACGAGAGAGGTGTAGCGACATCGGCTGAGAACAGGTCATGAGGCAATAGAAAGAAAACTTTCGTAGGCGAGTAAATTGATGGAGCTCGAGATTTCTGATTGCGTACGCCGGCCGCGTACTAACCGGAAGTTTCCTGACGTAAGAGAGCGCCAGACCCGGACGATTTGTAAGCAGTTCTCTTTTGTGCAGGGACTATCTAAATAATTTGTTGAAACTTATTGGTGTTATGTGGTTTGAAGAGGAAATGTCCACAGAATGGAATACATTAACGATAATGTTTATCTCCAAAAGGAGTGCGCGAACAATCTGAAAACCATCTTTGCATCAGCTGGTTGGTTTTTCCATCGAAGGTGGTCGCCGATCTCATCCGTCGGAGGTTGAGATAAAACAGCTAGAGGCAAATACGTGAAATCCAAGCTGAGTTTCGTCCTTTAGGATGATTCATTGATCACCTGTTTGCCCTTCCATAGACGGTGGATAGCAACATTGTTTCCAGCAACCGACAACGGTCGCCTTGTGTGACTAGGAAGCTTTCTTTGACTCTATAGGCTTGGAGTGAAGGTGCTCTCCATAAATGTTTGGCCTTCCCTGAAGTGCTGTATGCTAACTTTGCGTACGTGTGAAGGCACGTGGCAAGTTTTCACTGTTGAAATCGAGTGTACAGTGCCGCAGTGCACTCCAATATCTCATGATCTTGCGCTGAGGGCTTTAGAAAAAAGTTCAGTTTTTGAAAGTCGGTTTCTTTGGAGCATTGTCATAGTCTAACGGGAACACCGAACCAGTGATGATGAAGTACGTCAGGTGGTTTGCAGAAAAATTAGGTCGCTCCAGGTAAACGAACCGATCACACTCCACAGGTAGCACGGGCTTGGTCACGTGCTGTCAATTGCAATTGGCCGAATTCCTCGGAGAGCCCTTTTCACGTAACTGCGTGGATGGTGGAAACGAGCCCGGGGTCCAAGCAATAACTTGGCAGAGAAATATAAAAGTCATTACTATCAAACTCCACGGAACTGTTCGTTAACCGAACAGTTACACCAAATAGGACGATAGGTCAGACATCGATCTAGAAAACATCAAATCATCTGCAACAAGGTCGCAGGTGAAATGCAGCAAGATTGTTGGACTTTGTTGTTCATTGTTGATTCATCCTTTTTATTTCAGTCCTATTGAAACTAAGTGAAGATGACGACGAAGGCCGCCAGTAAGGTGGTAAAACAGTTAGCTGGCAGTGGAACGGGTCAAAGTTTAATGGACCGGGTCACACAAGCCAAATATAGTCTTGCAGGATCCGGTCTGGGTAAAGTTGTGGCGAAAGCAACGACGGAGGAGATCGGAGCCCCGAAGAAAAAACACATAGACTGTAATTCGTTTGTGCTGCTCACGCTCATTTTATTTCTAGATCTCGTCAACTGCAGTAATGAACCGAATGTATCTATTCCACTTCTTGCTGGATTGCTTGTGGAGCGTACACAAGAAAAATCCTGGGTGATTGTATTCAAGGCCTTGATCACAACTCATAATCTGATGAACTTTGGAAATGAGGCATGTTTTTCACCTTTCCAGATAACTTGTCTAGAAATTTTCGCATTATCTTGCTTCCAATAACTGTCCAATGAATCTGCCGAACTTCAATGACAAAAGCAGTGCGCAATGTAAGTAAATTATGTACCGATTTACATCTGTTGCACTCTAGCCTACGAGATGTCATTGTTCATCCGCCGTTATTCGCGGTATATCAGCGAGAAGATATCCTCCTATCGAGCTATGGCTTTTGATTTCTGCAAAGTTAAACGCGGGTAAGTTCTGATTCTGATGTAGCTTTCCCCCCATCCGTTTTGCGCGTTCTGTGGATATTCTGATCTGCCTGATTTATCCTGAAGAGTGTAAGCGTCCAGCTGTAGCGTACTTTCGGTTCCTAACTGTCATGTCAACGGAAGGGAGCACGAGGGCTGGAATTCTGCTAGGTTGCCCAAGTCTAGACTGGAGCAGTCGAGAGGCTGCGGTTGGGTTCGAACCACGGGACTTCCGGCCTTTAATCTGGCGCCTTAACCACTGAGCTATCTCGAGGTTACGAATTTTTGCATTCCTCCCCTGCAGTTCAACGTTGGTCATACTTTCTCACAACCTAGTAGTTTTACTCAACAAAACACTGATTTATTTGGCTATCCCCGAAGTCACCTGTTTAATGTCTTTGACTCGTGAGCTTATCGTGTGCATTTCACATATTTAGTCTAGTTGGTTTTCAGGATGGTCGTTCTGTTACACTGGAAAACCGTTTCACCCGTAGATTTGGCATCCTCAAGAGTTCAAACGGGTTAGAGATACTTTTGTAAAACTGATCCGGGAGATCAATCGTGGGACTACTTCCTATCATCACAAAACCTCCATATACATCGCTCGCCCTCGTAGCGACCACACCCATAATGATAGTTTCGTTTATGCTACTTGACAAATTCAACAGGAAATTTACAGCTCCGGAAGACTACTTATCTAAACCCCATGACATCCAACGTCGGACTTGTCTGCATGTACTTACTCTTTAATAACCACGAAGATACTGGACCTTACCGTGGTGTGACGGTTTTCGCACTTCCATAACGCTTCCCACACCAGGTTGGTTAATGTTGAGTGGTCTGACTAACAGTCTCCCGGTCCTCCAGATTATGGGCTGGAACATGTGCGACAGCTTGCTCCTTAAAAATCCACAATGCTTTGACGGTCTTACTCCAACCACCGCTGATTCTAGGTGGCTTTTTGACCAAAGCCTGGTCAAGGACCCTGATCGTCCTCATGTTTAGGCCGCTTAGAATCCAGGGAGAGGTACTGGAAGTTGTGGAAGTTGTATTAGTTCTGGTTGTAGTGTGACAGATGAGGTGAATGCACGAATCTGCAAGGCTCGGGCCGCGTTTGCTAACTTCAGACACCTATGGCGTCAGAATGGTTTATCCCTGAATCTGAAGGGACGTGTCTATCAAGCTACAGTACGGGCTGTTTTGTTGTATGGCTGTGAGACTTGGCCTATTCGAGCAGCGGACCTGAGACGTCTTCAGGTGTTCGACAATCGTTGTCTCAGAACCATAACTCGTGTGGGTTGGTGTCGGCGAATCCGTAACGAGGCAGTTAGAAAGCGTGTTTTCGGTTGTGTAACAGGTACTTCCATTGAAGAATGT